TAAACTCTCTCGAGAATACAAAATAATTTTTGTGATCCGAAATTTTTTATGTCTGCTAGACGGACCTGGGAATCTCTGGGAATACTAATATGGGTAAATGTCCGGTTGGTGTCCTACATGTCCGCAAAGAGAATGCGCATTTTTCTTTCCTTTTCTTGCATTTTTTTCTATAAAGAGAGGCGCCCATTTTTCCCTTCTTTAAGGTAGCCTTTTGGCATGTCGAAGGAAAAAGGGAAAATAATAAAAATTAATTACTAATAGAGTACAAATATATATTTTATTTTATAAATGATCAGAGATGAAAATTTGGGACAACATGCTCAAATAGATTTTTAAATATCTGGGGGACTTAATCCATTCGAAAACTTAATCTGTTCCGGAATGCTTCAATCTGCTTTGTATTTGCACCGTTTACTGGATTCATAAAAAATTATTGATGATTTACTGTTTGATGTTGATATCCTAACTAAACCTAAAGTGAATTATAGCTATTTATAGTAGCTATTGTTTGGTAATTATTAGTAGCTATTGTTTGTTAGTAGCTATTGTTTGGTATAGTAGCTATTGTTTGGTAAATCCCCAAGATATTTTAAAAATTTCCCAAGATATATTTGAGAGTTTGTAAATCAATCTAACATTATTAGTTTAATAACTGTTTGTAAATCAATCTAACATTATTAGTTTAATAACTTTATTAGTATTAAAATATCTGGGGGAAGCCTTCTGGAAGGTGGAAGGAAACAACATTCTTGGATTAAGATTCCCCAAGATATTTTAAAAATTTCCCAAGATATATTTGAGAGTTGTACTCTATTAGTAATTAATTTTTATTATTTTCCCTCTTTCCTTCGACATGCCAAAAGGCTACCTTAAAGAAGGGAAAAATGGGCGCCTCTCTTTATAGAAAAAAATGCAAGAAAAGAAAAGAAAAATGCGCATTCTCTTTGCGGACATGTAGGACACCAACCGGACATTTACCACTAATATGTATTAATCTAAGCTTTTGATGTAAAATTTTATCATATAAGAATTCTATTGATTAAATTTATTTATTCTCAAATTTAAATTACATATTTTTTTATATAATTCAATTATTAATTTATTTTAATTTTATATTATTTTTAATTTTGATCATTTAATATTTTTATATTAATTGATTAAATTATTTATTTGTATATCAATTTATATTTTATTTCTCATACATAGTTCCGTTTATTCTCATCAAATTAAGATATAATTTCTTATTGCGGTCCTCCAGGATATCCGGGTTCTTGAGTTGTTAAAGGCAAATCATCGGGCCCTGATGGGTAACCTTGTTTTGGTGGCTTTGCCGATGCTTTTCCTCTTTTTGGTGGTTTTGTAGCTTCAGGCAAATCATCGGGTCCTGATGGGTAACCTTGTTTTGGTGGCTTTGCAGATGCTTTTCCTCCTTTCGGATGTTTTGTAGCTTCAGGCAGATCACCGGGATAGGCGGGTTCTTGCGTTGTTAAAGGCAAATCATCGGGTCCTGATGGGTAACCTTGTTTTGGTGGCTTTGCAGATGCTTTTCCTCCTTTTGGGGGTTTTGTAGCTTCAGGAAAATCATCGGGTCCTGATGGGTACCCTTGTTTTGGTGGCTTTGCCGATGCTTTTCGTCCTTTTGGTGGTTTTGTAGCTTCAGGTAAATCATCGGGTCCTGATGGATAACCTTGTTTTGGTGGCTTTGCCGATGCTTTTCCTCCTTTTGGTGGTTTTGTAGCTTCAGGTAAATCATCGGGTCCTGATGGGTAACCTTGTTTTGGTGGCTTTGCAGATGCTTTTCCTCCTTTTGGGGGTTTTGTAGCTTCAGGAAAATCATCGGGTCCTGATGGGTACCCTTGTTTTGGTGGCTTTGCCGATGCTTTTCCTCCTTTTGGTGGTTTTGTAGCTTCAGGTAAATCATCGGGTCCTGATGGGTAACCTTGTTTTGGTGGCTTTGCAGATGCTTTTCCTCCTTTTGGGGGTTTTGTAGCTTCAGGAAAATCATCGGGTCCTGATGGGTAACCTGGTTTTGGTGGCTTTTCATATTTTCGCTTTTTGTCTTTATCACAATCATCTTCTGGCTTGGGTGACACGTTACAATCGCTCATTTGGCTGAAATAACGGTTACAGACACGTCCGCATTTTTTCATTGAACATGGTTCTGGAGCTGGACACAATGAGCCACCAGAAGATTGAATTTTCTCAACTTCCTCACAGCATTGGTCGACTTTTTTGTTTTTTCTAAGATTGCTCTTGCAAAAATCGGGAATATTTGACGGGCTTGATGGAGTACTCACATCACCTGAAATTTTTGTAAAATTTTAAAAAATTTCTATTCCGATTAGAGAGCGAGATTTTTAAAAAACCTTGACCTTGATCCTTGACCTTGATTTTAAGTAAGGACCTTGACTAGATTCTTGACCTTGAGTTAAGGAAAAATCAAGGTCAAGGAAAAATCAAGGATTATTTTTGCCTGGATCCAGGCCTGATTCTTCATTTTTTTTATTTAGACGGATATCTGACGATTAAGTGTGATATAGGGGTACTTAAAGGTATATTATTCGATTTTAAGGGATATTGACGGATTATGTGGATTTGTAGAAGGGGATATCGAGAGATTTAGAGGGACTAAGAATAATATTGTTTATTTGTGGGATTTGGAAAAATTCTTGATCTGGTTGAGTACCTTGACCAGATTCTTGACCCTGAGTCAAGGAAAAATCAAGGAACGCTGAAAAATGCCTTGATCTGGACTCTGGATCCAGGAAAAATCAAGGTCTGGATCCAGATCCAGACCGCTCTATTTCTATTATTAATTCCGATTTTGTGATATTTTCAGATTTCTTGCCATTATTTTTTATATTTATAAAGTATTTACCTTTTTCTATAGGACCTTCTGGATAATGTGATTCTGAAAAACAAAATTAGTTTAACAATAAAAGTAAAGGATCAATTTTCATTAAAATTGAAGAAAGTTATGGCAAAAAACAAACGCGCGCTTAATTTGCCGCACCCTGTATGTATACTTACCGGCTAAAGATATAGCGATAGCCACAAGGCCAATGAAAGTTCCCAGTAATAATTTCATTTTATAACTTTTCTTTGGATAATGTTAATGTTAATTATTAAATTAATGTTTTTCCATAAATGATTAGGAGCTTTTAAAGGGTTTGGTATTCAAGTTATAAATTTCTATAAATCTTTAAATCTTATGCTGTACAAATAATATATTTAATGCGTAATTCGTCTAGAATACTTATTAAAAAATTTTGGCATTTTTTTACTCAAAAATCGTTAATGTTTCCAGGTGTTACAATTCATAGATCTCGTCTAAAAATGTATAAGAGACAGAGGATATGCGTCAATTCTATTTAAAAATTTTAATTGCCATTTTAGTCTAAAAAATGCAATTGATGCGTCAATTCAACGTGGTTATACATAGTTTGTACAAAACTGAATTGGCTCTCAAATAAAGATACACGTGTATTCATAAGAATTTAATTATACAATTGAATGAAAGAATAAAAAAATTTTAAATAATTTTTCTAAATTTTTAAATATTTGAGGCGATATTAAATTTTATATTGAAAAATAGTAGACATTTAATAACAAGTGACAGGACTTTCGGTTCTGTAATTTACAAGAATCACGTCTTTGATTGATTTTATTTTTTCTATATCATCTGAACTTGTTTCTCAAGTGAAAATTTCTCAAGCGACAAGTGAAAGTTAAATACATCTGATCAAAATAATATTTTGTTTTCTTTGATGAAAAATGGCCGAACGAGATCAAAAAAACTTCTGTTTTAAAATCTTAAAATTAAGAACCTTGACAAAGTAAATTTAGACATTACAACAATTGATTCGGATCAGGGGTGGGCGCATTGCTTTTTGCATTATTTGCGGACAAAAATGGTCTTCTGAGGACAAAAATGGAAAAAAGAGTACAAAAATGGACAAAAATGGAAAACAAAAAAATATCTGTAGCCCAGTTCTCCTCGACTTCAGCATCTATGGCCTATTTCTCTTTTATTTTCTTGACCCCTCCAAATCCCGTAATAATTTCCTAGTAACTCTTTAAATCCCTTTTATCACTCTAAATCCACTTATATACTTCGTAATCCCGTTATATCTCCGATATCCCTCGAAATCATTATCTATCAAACATTTATATCGTAAATTAAGACTCTACCAATAATTATGAAATAATTATCAATAAGGGATAATTCTGATATCCACTTCTGTTATCTTCGAGTAATTGTAAACTTTTTATAGTTTTTTTATTTCTTAACTTTACTTAACACATTCTCGATTGAAAGTTACGTTAAACTGTTTTATCTACATCTATCGGTCATTCCTTGATAATTTTGTAAATTTAATTAGATCCTCATTCTCAAAAATGAGAATTTTAATAAACTCCATTGATTTGCAATACTCAATTTTTTTAAATTCTTGTAAAGTTTTATTCAAATTAATCAATTTTATTTAAAATTCATTGACGTAAAAATTTTTTTAATTTTTCTTTTAAATTTTTATATTTACAAAGAGTTATTGAATTTTAAAAAATTTTATCGACAGGAGAAAATAAAAATTAATAAATTATATTTTTAGATTAAAATCCTTTAAAAATTTTTAACATATATTATCGATAACTTTTAAAAACTATTTTTTAATTATATTTTATATCATTTATTTTAATTTTAAAAAACCCATTATTTCTCTTAATGCCAGGATTTTCTAAAAGCATTAAAACTTTAATATAATTAAATTATTTTTTTATTTATTTTTTATTGATTTATATTTAATTTAAATATTTTAAAAATTTTTTTCATTTCTTTGAAAGCTAATATTAAAGTTTTACGCAATATATAATATTTGTCTAGCTTTAATAAAATTTTATATACAATCCAACACTTAATTGGCAGTCTTTAAAAACGAGTATATTCAATTAATAAAATTAATAAAAAGCCTCTAAAAATAAATATTAATTTTAAAATAAAATTTTAATTATGAGGATATTATTTATTTTTTTCTTTGTTTTTATGGCAATTTCAGTTGCTTTTGGGGAAGGCGGTAATTTTTAATTAAATTTACTAAAATTGTTTTTTTTAATAATTTAATTAAAAAATATTTTTTATTTAAAAAATTTGAAAATTTAAAATTTAATTTCAGAAAAGAAAGGTGGATTTGCTGGAAAGCCTAAGCGTCCAATTAAACAAGGAATTGAAAATCTTACTACATTTATACCTCCGACAACTGAACAGTAATTGGAAAGTTCGTCATAAAATTCATAAATACCTTTTTCAATATATTGAATGGGGAAAATACTGGAAGAATTTAATTAAAATAATTGGGAGATTAACAAAATAAAAAATAAAATAATGTCACAAATTATGTAAAATTTAAAAAAATCAAGAAAAGATAAATCTGATTAATATTTTCTTTTAATTATTCAAGAACTGTATTTTGAAACAATTAATAATTTAAAGAAAAATCCCTTAATTTCAAAAAAAGAGCTAAAAAATAGATAACAAATTATTATTTAAATCTACCTAAAAAATCTATGTGCAATTATTATATTATTTTATAAAAATAAAATGATTATGTTTATCCACAAAAAGTAACTCCGTGCAGTATTATTTAAAAAGTTAAATCCTAATTAAAATATTAAATAACTATTAAATTCAAAAAATATTTTTCAATATGTATGCTCGTCATGTTCCACTTCCAAATCCAAAACTCGCAAAGGAATCAAAATCAACATCTGTATCATTCTTCTCCTTTACTATGAAAATTTAAAAATTATTTAAATTTATCAAGTATTTTCAGAAAAATCAAAATTTATTAAGTCTTTTTCTAGAACAATTTACACTTTCACTTAAAAAGCAAAACTTGCCATTTATATCAAATTTGCCAAGCAAAGCATCTTCTAACATTTTAAAGGCAGATTCTCCATTAACAGATTTAAATTCCTCCCATTCTTTACTAATCAGAAATTCCTCTCTATTAGCATAAATATATTTTATACAAGACTGAAAAGATCAAAGGTTTTGAAAAATAAATTTTTAAAACCTTCTCTAACATTAAAAGACCATAAGTTTTGGCACAATCATAACGTTTTTTAAAATTTGTAGAAGCTAAAATTTGTAAAATTTATATTTAAAATTTGATAAGTAATTTAGAGTAATTTATGCATAAAGTTATATTTAAACTTAGTTTTGATAAACTAGAGAGAGCATTTTAGGTGTTAGGAAAACTGGAGGATATAACTTCAGAAAAAGGCAATCGTAACTATAGTATTAGTAACCCCCTTTAGGTGGCTTTTGTGAATTCGGATTATGTCTATAGCTATAGTCTATTAATGTTCTAGGAAAGAATAAAATTTGAGTGCCTTTAAGTTCTGCCCTCTAAAGGCAATAATTCATAAAATAACATTTCTAATTAACTTGGGAGTTAAAACCGGCACTTATTCCCTAACCAGAAAGTTACACCAAGGAATTCTACAAAATTATCTAAGTTTTTATTTATTAAAATTAATTTATAAATTTTTAAACCAACTAATTGACATAGCCATATAGTGCTCACAAACTTCTTTTAAAGTAACAACTTCATATTTATCGGCAATTGCGTATAAATCCTCCCCAAGTTTCTCAAAAGTACCTTAAATTTTAAATTAAAAATATTAAAATAATTAAATTTTATTTACTAATTTCAATTTCCCCACTGTAGAAAAACTCGAGCATTGCTCTAAAACAATCAACTGAACAATCAACAATTTTTATTTCACCCTGAAATTTTATTAATTAACGAAAGATTAAATAATATCTCTCATTGTATTCTGATTTTACACATAGGTACCAAAATTAATTTTCCGGTTTTGGAAAAAAGTAAACTATAACATTTTACATAATTAAAATAATTTAGGGATTCCATTATTTTATTAATGTTTTGCTTACTATTTCCTTTTCAATCATATTCTGTCCTAGCATTCTTTTAAACACTTCACTATTTTGAGCTAAAACACAACGATGTGTATTTATTGTTTCATCATCAATCTGAAAATGATCTTGGATCTACGACATAAAAAATAAAAATGTGCTTTCATCAATCGAGAATTCCCGACACATAAACGTTAAAAAATTATTAATTACCTTAATTACGAAATCAGCAAGTGTTTCTTCCTCAAACATTTTAATAAAAGATTTTTTCAGAATTCTTAATCTATCTTCATTTTCTTCATACTTCCTCCCCATACTATTCATCATTATTGCTGATTCGATATCCTCTTTTTCTGATTCAAAGAATATCGTTACATACTCCACTTCACATATTAATAATAGCGAATCTTGAATTTAAATTTATTAACTATACTAAAACGATATAATTGTTTACATGTTTTTCATCTTAGAAAAGTGAATATTTTTTGAAGCGAAAATTTTTTAATGTTAATTCAGAGAAAAACAAACAAAAGACTGAAAATAAAAGAGAATAATAAAGAGAATAAACCTCTCTAACATATACGCGTAAGTGTTCTCTTACTTAGCACTTTTTCGCAAAGAAAGTTGTTTTTCTCTAATTTTCGTTAAAAATTTAACCGTAAACAAAAAACAACCAGCCATCCGCCATTTAATCGCAGGGATTACCAGCCGCGTGCCATATAATCGCACACATTTATTTTGTTAAAAATTGTTCGCAGCCATTTTGTATCAGACTTTAGCAACTATCAAACTTTAATGGAACAATATTTGGTTAACACAGTTGAGTACACCCAAACACAGAGGTTTATGGGGTAATGAGGAATATTAGAAGATTTTAGGGGAGGAAAAAGGGGCTTATCTGGCGACTTGGGGAGTAAGCGGGATATTGAGGGTTTTGTGGTATCAAGAGGGCTTTCGGGATTTGCAAGGGATTTCGAGGAATATTGTTGATTTGGAGGCTTAGAGATTTTTAATTTATGCGAAAATTATAGATCTAACTGCTGAGATAAGGCTGTAATAAAACTACCGTATTTACACAAATAATTACCCTCTCTCAAATAATTACCCCCTATTTTTCTTACTGATTTTAAAAATGTTTATTGAAAATCATCGAATTTAATAATGAAACATTTTACCGATCAATATCATGGAATAAATCGAGACATTAAAAGATTTAGGGGAAAATCGAGGATTTTGTGGATTAAGAGGGAAATTGAGGGGATTAAGAGATTTTGTGAGATAATGGGAGATTAAGATTTTTAAGTATATAAGCCTTATTCCTTATATTTCACTAAATCCTTCTAAATACCTTAAATCTTCGCATGACTTTATGCCTTTATAAATCCATAGACGGAATTATTGTTGGCATAGTACTATTTTGAGTACATTATATAGCATATATTAAAAAATTGATATTATAACCTCTAACAGGAAATATACGTATTTAAATACATGTCCATGATGCTTTTATATATCCCAGGACGGAAGTATTAATGTTATAATACCGTTTTGTGGGAAATATTGAGGAATAATAAAGTTAAAACGCAACTTTTTATCTCCGTATTTGGTAACGTATTGTATATTCCTGTTCATAAGCCTATGATAAAATAAAAATATAAAGGTCGGAATAATAATTACCTTCTCTCAAATAATTTCCCCCTCCCTATTAATTACCCCCTCCAGCGAGAGATCGAAACAATAATTACCCAGGGTAATTATTTGAGTAAATACGGTATGTTGGATCATTAAGTTATTTTGAATTTGGAAAATCTGCGAGGCAATACATAAATCAGAGAGTAAAATTTTGTGTATATCTAAAAATATAACGCTCACGAGATATTTGGTTAATTCTCAGGAATTAATAGGGATTTGGAGTGACTAATGGGTATATCTGGGAATATAAGTGATTTTGCAGAGATCAAGTGGATTTGAAGGGAACAAATGTTTCCCTGAAGATAAGAGTGGCTTTAGAAGTATTAAGGGTAAAAAGGATGCAAGGATGTTTAAAAGGATGAAAGTAATTTTGAGGGTTAAATATGGAGATTATGGATTTGAAGCAAATAATGGTAGATAACAAGAGATTTGTAAGGTTCCTTTTTTAATCAACTTAATATATTACTTCAAACAGCCGCACTTTAAGCAGTTACACTTTAAAATTTTAGTAGATCAAGCAGCAGATTTTGTACTTTATTGCGTCGCAGGTGGAAATTGAGAATTTTGGAAGTAAAAAGCCAGATTTGTTCATTTTGAGGACCGCAAGCGAAAACAATGTGAATTCTTATTCTTTAATCTTTAATCTACAGATATCGTCCAAAAATTATGTTCATTCAAAACTACCGAAATCCGTGCGAATTCATCGGAATCCATTCAAATCCGCCGAGACCCCATTTAAACCCCCGATTTTTCTCCGAATCCATACCACCAGATAGCACCATTAAACTACTGTTATCCCTACAAATCCCCATATATCCATCTTAATTCCCATATAACCCCCAGATATCACTTTTAATCTCCAAATAATAAAAAAAATAAACTCCGCAAAATCCAAACAAACCAAAATACAAACTTAAAGTTATATTCGATAAATGCTTAAAAACCCGCAGTTAGTACTGTGAAAAGATTCTTGATCAAATATAAATTGATCAAATACATTCTTGATCAAATACAAATAATTGATCAAATATAACATTTAGCACCAGCGGCAAAATTTGTAAAAAATATGCTATAATTAGTGCCAAAACGCCTTGCAACGAAAAAAAAGAAATAAATGGAGTTTTTGTCAAACGCTACTCTGATACTATTTAATCCCTCCAAATTTCCCTAACACAATCAAAATCCCTGATATCCCACAAATATTAAATTTGGTTTGAACAAGTGCGAAATAATTTAGAGGCATATGCATTCAGATTTATGTATAAGTTTTCAAGATATCTCCCTTTCCTCAAATCCTATGTTTAGATATGCGCATGTTTCTTTATTTTGTGTGATTTCGTTTCATTTCCTTTTAAAAACTGACTTCTTAAAAAACCGAAAAATTTAAATTCTGGTTTTTTTAATTAAAAACTAATGTACGAGCGTTTAGGTGCCGCGAAGCGGCACCTAAACGCTCGTATTATTTTAAAAATATATATTTAAATTGTGTCGATTTTCATATTTAGATACTTCTTGAGGATGGAAAAATTGTATATTATAATGATGCATAAATACTGAAAGTATCGCTTAGGAGCTCCCCCACTCATCCAAAAGTCTTTAAAACTAGAAACAAGGTGTTTAAGACTTCCAAGGCTCGGGACCAAAAATTAACAATTTTTGTTTTATTTTGCGTGCATCCCACACGAACATTCATAATTTAAGATTTATTTCATTTCATTTTGATGAAATAAAAATAAGGAATCCAAAAACTCATACTTTTTCGATTAATTTAGAAAAGCTCAAAGAACTCGTGATCAAGACTTCACCCCAAGACAATACCAAAAAACCCCAGAAAAATCTTTAGTCAAGACTGGAATCAAGTGTCTTTTTTAATTTTAGATGTCTAAATTTTCTAATTTATTACTACATGAGAACTAACTCAAAAATGTCATATATTTAAGTATTTACCGTCAGGATGAAGAGATCTCTCTAAGTCAATAACAAATTCAGTAGTTTGAAAATAGCTTCGAAAATTATCCTTATTTCTAAAAACAAATTATTTAACAAGTAAGACAATCAATATTAAAACAAAAATCTGTGAGGGATATTTACATAGATATTTTTAAATTCAGTCGTCTGAACTAAATTTTTAAATATAGTGTGAAATGTTTTTCCCCATTAATTAGAGAAAAACAATTTAACAGTTATATCATCTAATTTTATTATCTGATTTAGTCTATATTTACAAATAAAAAATATTTTTAATCGACTTACGAACAAATATCCACTCTTTTACCATCAGAACTAATCGCATATATTGTAAATCTTGCTTTTATTCTAGCCTCAGAAGTATCTTTACCTACGTAAACGAGGGCAATTGAAGTAGCTTAATAGAATATTTTCAAAAAAAGATGAAAACCCTTCATGGATTAGATAAGCACTCAGAGTCCCCAGATTTATGAGATTATTATTTTAAATCAATTAGTTTACCGTCCTCTGTATATCCATTAGGAAAGAATCTCAATTTCCATTTAATTGCCGAACATTTTACATTATAAAATTGTTTACCTAAAAATATTTAAATTAAACAAATTTCTTCCTTAAATATCTACAAACTTTTCAAACATAAACTTTTTTGAACAAATTTAATATGCAACTTGACGTCCAATAATTTCCATTCAATTTTACTTTTTAATATTTCAGGCTTAAATTTTTATTAATTTAAAAAAAATAATTTTTAATTATATTAACCTTTTTGTATGTGTTTGAGTCAAAAAGCAATTCTTTAAATCTAAATAAATAATTTTTATTTTATTTTATTAATTAAAATTCTTTTTCGATTTTTAATTTATATAAAATTTTCTTAATGAATTAAAACAGATAAGGAAGCTCCTAAACTGAATTGTTCGGATTATGATAGAGTGTGGGTAGAATTTCTTAAAGGATTTCGGTCTTCCAAAATACAACCAACTTTATATAGAATTTATATAGATTGGACGGGGAATCTGAATAATAAATCTGAATAATAATAATATCATTATTATTCTTATAATAACTCTCTAAATCTGAATAATAACCAAAATAACCCCGATCAACCTATTTCCCATTTCAGTTCGAAATATTTAAATGTCAATTATATAAAAATCATTAAAATTTGAGAGCTAATTTGTTTTCGAATTAATTTAATTTTTAACCATACTTTGAAGATGTTGGCCAGCCACCATGCCATGCCATTTTTAATATTTAATTAAATATGAAAATTAATTTTGATATTTATGTATATTTATTCTAAAATTTTTATAAATCTCGGGATTAATTTAATTATTTTCTTAGAAGCGATAGAAAAAGCAGAAATTGAAAATTAAATAAATTTACAAATAAGCTGTATTTTAAACTCGGTTTATAATTCTCAAACGTCTTCGGCTTTTCGCTTTCATTTATCGAATCTGTTTCAACAACCCCTTGCTATAAACCTTTCCATACGAAAAAAATTCATTTTGAAGATTAAATTTGTTTAAAACTACATATAATGTTCCCGGATTTAATATCTTTTAATCTTTACTCTTAAAGAACCTCTATCAAACAACAATCTTTATTATTCAGTTTAGTTCGAAACAAGGCAAATTAAATGAAATTACAAATAGGTATTTATAGGGCTTGGAATAGGCGGGAAATAAGTTCAAAAAATTTTTTAGATAAAGTTTGATAACGAAAATATATATTTGAAATCAAAGTTGTAAATGTTATAGGGGAATGTTTTGAATAAGATCAAAAGGAAGTTACATTTAAAATATGGTTTGGGGGATTGAAAATGATAAATAACAGGAAAAGAAACGTTCAGAATATATTTGAGGCTAAAATAATTGAAAATAATATTTTTAAATAAATAATAAATTATCAAATATGTATATGGATCCAATAAAAACTAAAAATAGAAATGTTAAGTAATTTTAAATAAATTTATTTAATAAAATTTGAGTTTTTATTTGGGAAATAATTTTAAAAAGTATTATGTTAAGTGAAATATTTTAGTATTATGTTAGTATTTATGTAAAAACGAATAATGGAATAATTTAGATAATAATTAATTTTTAAAATGCTGTATTTAACCTTTTAATTTCTTTAAATAAATATGCTACCTACAAACAAATCAATTTATGCTAATAAGAAAAAACTAAACATTATTTCTTTAAGTTTTCTTTTTTCAAATTAAAGTTTTTATAAAAAAATTAAAAGTCAGATAAACATCTTTGAATTAATTTATTTCTCAAATAAAAAATAAGATAAAAATATTTTACCACTTAATTACTCATTTTTACGAAATTCGAAAAAATATTTTGTAAGTAATCTCATATTTAGGAGAGTTGTGTCGTAATTACGAATTACGGCGTTTTTTGAGTTACGAATTACGATTACGAAAATATCAGAAAAATTACGAATTACAAAATAAAAAATAAAAATTACGGAAAAATGCTATTATTGCAGAAAAAACCTCTCGTACTTTGACATTAAATTTTCGTCGGAAAAGTGAAAGAAATGTGTTTAAAATTTCTCTCACTTTCCTCTTGGTGATCGTTGGTTGAATGGTTCTTTGTAGTGATTTGGAAAATATTTAAATATTTTAATACTTTTCTTTAATCAAAAATACATATAATTTTATCAAAAAAAGCCATTTTTATGAATCTTAAATTTCCAGACTTAGTTGTGAATTGACATCGGATCGGGATCAGGAGACCAATAACTCGGGAAAATTTCCCGATTCAGGAGTCGGGATCTTTGTAATAAAAGAAAGAATTACAACTTTTTGGTCTTCTTTAAATTCCAAAGCTATGGTATTTTATAGAAAAATTAAAAAAAACTCCATAGAAATAATTCAATTCTTAAATTAATTTTATATTTAATTTCCAAATATTATTTATAAAAATTATATAAATATATACATAGCTGATTCATCAGTTAGTAAATATAATTCTCTAACTATTAAAATGAAGGTTCTCGTATATTTTTTTGTTTTTTGAATAAAAAATTATAATTTATTTAGTCAAAATTTTTAATCTAACTAAATACAAATGTTTATAGATTTTAGTAAAATTTTGTTTAACAACCCATTCACTATTTGCTTATATTTTTTGTATTTTTAGTTTGAATAATTAATGTACAGGCTATGGAACTGACAGAAAAATTATCGTATCATGCTTTCAAAATTTTTTTCTAGTTAGGTTTCTAATCAAAAATAGTCCAGGTTTCGAGTGAAAGCCATCTCCGCCTGTTATAGATCCAATATTACCTAATGTTTTTTAATTTTAAAAGATAAATTTATTTAAAGATTTTTAAATCTTTTTTCTAATAACTTTTTCAATTAATATTCTAAAACTTTAAAATTAAAAAATGTTTATCCTCTACTTTATGCTTTTTTATTGCGTGTCGGATACTTATGGTAAGTCAATTAAATTATTTTTACAAATATTTTGAATGTTAAAATGAATTTGTCTCTAAAAGTAAAATATATTTTCAGGTATTCGTTGTTATGCTGGTCAGAAAGGTTTTTCCTAATTTTTCTTTATTTTTTAACCACCGATTTCAGGCAGTAATTTTCGCGTTGGTGTGCGTGAGTATAATTGCCCTTCTAATTTTGACATGTGTTATATTTCTCTCTGCAAATATAACGGTTTTTAAATATTTATATATTAAATTGTTAAAAATTTTAAATAAGGTTTTAAGTTCTGTAATGTTAAGTTGGCAAAACTTGGTCACTAATTTAGAAGTTCCCTAAAACTTTTAGATTTTTTATACTTTTACCATAGGTTTTAAATAAGATTTTCTTATAACTAAAAATTTGTGTATGTAGTAGGAATCAGGGCTGGAAGCAATATGTATTGCGTAAATTAGCGTTTTTTGACGGTTGCGGTTTTCAATAATTCATGCAATTTTAGTTTTCAATTTGCAAATATTTTATTACATAAAAATACCCAATTAGTCTATGGTTAATGTCTCATTGTATTTTTAAATTTAGATTGGCTCAATCCTGGTTATTATAGAATGGGGTGTGCTGATAAAGGGTTTTGTGAACATCGTAATGTTACTTGGCGAGGTCGATGTTCGGAATTGAAGGCCAGAAAATACTTAATTAAATTGAAATTAATTATTTAGGGAGTCGAAACATTTTATAATCGAAACTTTATGGGTGTCAGATGCCGTGTTTGTGATAAGGATCTTTGTAATGGTGCGCCTTAGATGAGGACGAAAAAGGGTAATTTTGAACGTGACAGACCCCCTTTTTTCCTCCCTATTTTTCACCCTATATTTTTTAAAAATGGTCAGACTTTTTCCTTTCTTCCATCCAATTTGCCTTTCTAATTTTTGCCTGCAATTAAACAATAAGGATTATAAAAAGGAGGATTATTTTTTGGTATTTAACAAGTATGAGTTTTGCGAAAATTCATTTTCTCAATTAAAAAATGGAACAACTTAGGAATTTCAAGCCTTTTGATTTACATGAAAAATTACGTTTGAGCGATAATGATTTCGATGTATGGCTCGAAGAGCTTGGACTTCTCCATGGAAAAAGAACCTGCCATAAATGTGGAGGTCGAACGACACTCAGGTGCAGAAAATTTTGTAAAAAATGAAATTCTAATTGGAGGGGGAAAGAAGAACTTGTATTGATAGTTATTTTAAATTTAAGTATAGAAGTCGAGTAGGAAAAAATTGGGGAGGAAAAACGGGAAATAAAATATAAAAAATAATCCTTTTTGCAGGCAAAAATTAGAAAGGCAAATTGGATGGAAGAAAGGAAAAAGTTTGACCATTTTTAAAAAATATAGGGTGAAAAATAGGGAGGAAAAAAGGGGGTCTGTCACGTTCAAAATTACCCGAATAAGTGAATTTTTCAAAGATTTTTTGTGTTAATTATTTAAAAATCAAATTTTTGTAAAAGGAATTAATGAAAATTAAATAAAAATTATTAAAAGGATTTGTAGCTTTGAACTATCCGAGTTTTATTTTTTGTTAAAAACCTAATAGAAGATAATGCTTATAGAATAGGTATTTATTGTTCTAGGAATATTATTGTAGAAGCGTTGAAATAAACTTTGTTTCTTATTTTCTTACTTCCATAAAATTATTCCTTGTTAAAGCATTAAATTAGCCAAACATTTACTGTTCTCAGCTTGGTTTTCTATTAATCTCACTTGATCAAGCCCTTGACCCTCCCTTGATCAATTACTCCCTCAAATGAAAGTTCGAAACAATGATTACACAGAGTTAGGTAATAAAAATTTTTCGGATAATATGAAATAATTATGATGAAATAATTATGATATATTTTATTATTATAATATTTATAGCGTAAAGTTATAAATTAATTTTGTCGTATTATAATTTCATTTATTCACTCATGCTTAAAAGATGGATTCTTATAGAAATTAACATTATTATCTGGTTCACCTTCCACCTGAAAATTTTAAAATTTGTTTAAGAATCTTAAAACAAGTTTGCATTACTATTTTATTTAAGGAACGATTTTTGTGTTATTATCTATAAATATAAAAACTGATCAACTCCTAGTGTCTGAACGAATAAAATAACAAAGGAGAGTGACTGAGGTATCCGTGGGACTTCGGGATGAAATTTGGTAGACAGATATACCAAAAAGCACCCCCCACCGGCATACTCCCGTGTTTTTATTTTATAGAAAGACCGTTGCTTGTGTGTGATTAATCCATTCAGGATCCCGAAACTTTGAGTTTTCGAACTATAAATAATATATTCTTATTTACCATTAATTGTTTTATTCCTTCCAATTTAAATTTAACATCGTGTTCTCTTTTAATTAATAATTCTTTTGTATTTTCTGATATTATTGTTGTTGTAATATTAAAATTATCTTTATTTCTAACATATTTAAATTTAATATTCATTTCAATTTGTTTAGGTAATTTTTCCAATTTTGGATCAGAATAAAAATTAATTGGTCCAGAAAAATTATTCTTGATTTAGTCAAAATTAAAAAAAAAATTTATTTAATTATTTAACCTTTAATAATTGAAGATGCCGTACATAAATAAATGGAGGTGTTATCTCTCCATTTTCTTTATTATTTCCTATATCAGTTCGTACAAAAATTAATAGAGGAATCTTTCCTTCATCTTTTACTTTAAATTATTTATTTTAATTAAAAAATTGAAGAATTTAGGGAATTAAAATTTAATTAATATATTTTCTATAATTGGAGTCCGTTTATATTATAGCAGCTTTATAAAAAAGTATTGAAAAAATGTTATTGAAAAAAATGGGGTAATTTTGGTTGAAATATGCAATCTAACCAAATTTTTGATTTTGGCGGCTTGCAAATCTTTAGCAAACCTGTGACCAGAGCAGGTTTTTTCTGCTCGATTTTTTAGTGCCGCAGGCGAAAATTTTAAAAATTTTGAGCGGCTAAAATTCCCGATTCTTTGGCATATATTTGGGGTCAGGGACCAATCTTAGTTTTATTTAACTATTTTAAATTAATAACTAACCAAATTTTGCAAGATTATTCATGTTTGTTAAATAATCAAGTTTAAATTTTTCTTTATTTTCTACAAGTAAAGCAAAGCCGAAGAATGTTGGATGTCTCAAAGTGAAATAAAACGTAACTTCTGCTTTTCGTTGTTTTGCCCAAGTTAAATTAAATGGTCTGGAGTAAGGCAAAGCAATCTGTTCTACTTTGATTTGTTCAACTTTATGACCAGTTATCTTAACAGTATTTTTTTGATAAAATATATTTTGAATTATGCAGCTTTCCTTAACTTTTCTTTTACCGCATCACGTACAAAATACCAAATACCTATACAAATACAACCGAAAGATAAGCCTGATTTAAATTTATTTCATTTTTACAGTTATATAAAGTCTTATTTTTATTCGACTAATTTAATTATATGAGTTGATAGACAATAAGAATTATATATGAATTTCTATTTTTTAGCATTCTAAACCCAAAAACTTTTGAAAACTAATAAAATATTTAATATCCTGAATGAAAAATGTAATTTATTTCTTTCTCCGCCCTTCTCTTAATTACCCAACCATTTATAAAATTTAATTATATATTTCAATTCAGTATATTTGTATAAAATAAACCTACAGCAATTTCTTCAATTTTATCAACTGGTTGTTGTTTTGGAGAATTAAAATGAAGAATATCATCTCCAATGTTAACCTCAATTTTATTACTTTTCACAAACACATTTAGTTCGGTAGGATTATTTGTTAAATTTGTTTTTTGTCGAGGTGTCAATGTATACATTCCAATAGGCTCATCCTTTAAATAAAATTTTTAAAAATATTTTATTAAATTAATTTAGTTGAGATTTAGTTACATATTTCAATAAGAATCAAGCAAAATTATTTTCTAGTAAAAGTCAAGGAGTCTAGGGAATAACATTAAATGAGATCATAATCGCGGTCTCATTATAAACATTTAACAACATATCAAAAAATGAATTTTATCTTTGTTTCACTCCAATGATTAAAGAAATTTTCTTTTTTGAAATGTTATATCAGAAAAACAGGTCTTTCAATTTTGGTATTGAAAGACCACGACTTACATATTAAATATTAATTATACTTAAGAAAATAATATTTACCCGATCATTCGTCATTGAAGAGAATGTGTTTGTTGTAAAATTATATTTCATACTGAGAATAATGTTGTCATTTTCTTTTTTTAATTGTTTTTATTTTAATATTATACATACATATTTAATTTGATATTTTTTTTATATTATTTATCAAAAATTTATGTAAAGCATATAGTTATTTTTACTATTTACTATTTCCTATGGCTATGCAGTAGGCGGCGTGGTGTAATGGCTAGCACATCAGGTCTACTGAAGATGCTGGTTCGCTCCCAGCCGCCCAATAACCTTTTGCACTAGCTAAAGGAGAGAAATAGCTATAGCCTGCTGCTGAGGTTGCGAGGTGTCCGAGCTAAAAACGCTCGAGACCGGGCTCATTTGATAGAGAATGTGCCCTTTCTAGCAAGGATTTTGAGACGTTTTTGTCCGTTTTTATCTGTACAAGATATGGCCCTCCAAAGTCCAAAATTTTGCATAATTTTCCCCCCTCAAATAAATATAAACATTAAATAATGGGTTAATTTTGTTGGCGTTTGTGACCTCGCAACCTCTCAGTGTAAATATTTGTTAATTAATTGGTGACTAAATATTTTATATTCTCATTATTTTCTATAAATTATCTTAAATAACTTTTCATAGATACATAAAAATAAATAATACAATTTTGTAGATTTAAGCTTCTTTTAACTCTGCTAAAGGATCTATGTTTTGTATTTTAAAATTTTTCCGCATAAAAGCAGATTTATTGAAACTAAATAAATATTTTTTGTTAAAATTCCTTCAAAGGAAATTTATAGAGAATAATCATCTCAATTAAATTATTTAAAATTTTTCCATCAATTAATTTTTATTTAAATTCTATATACAATTTTTACCACATTTCCCGTTACTTTTCTTTTTACAAAGAATTAATTCAAAAACATTATTTCCATTATCTGTAGCACCAAATGATGGAATATCAATTGAGAGAATTCCGTTTTCTTTTATTTCTGTATTTATTACTGAAGTTTTTAAATTGGAGCCGGGGGAATGTGTTATAAGTTTAATTGTTTGTGCTGGTGGTTTAGTTTCTTCATTAATTCCAGTTCCCTTAAATTTAATTTAAATTTTAAATTGACCCTGTAACATTTTTAGATATTGGTTTATTGTTGGTAAAATAGTTATAAGGGGATCGGGGATAGGATTTCAGCGATATAACGAAAATTATGGACGGTTTCGAAATCTCGATCTCGATAGTCACAATTTTTGATCTGATCTCGTCTTTTCCTGAGATATTAGAGTATAAAGGTATTTTAAGGGCATTTTTGTGTGCGCTAATTAGGCTTATCAAAGAAAACTAGAGAATGGTCAAAATAAATAATTAATAAAAATTGATTTTCATACCCCTACACTTACTTCTGTAGTTATTTCAGTTGTTCCAATAACTTCCTCGGAAAATTCAATCTAAAATTTTTGAAAGATCAGCATAGTTCAAGTGGAACACTCAATCAGTTATTCTTGTTTTAGTATTATTGTCAGCCATAGGGGTATCCCTCTAAATTCCATTTATTTTTAAATTCATTACATAACTTAAGAATATCTCTATCATTAAAGAACCAAATCCTTTTTGGCTGAAATGAACAAAAAAGCGTTGACAAATCCCCTTATCTTTAATTAACCGATCATTGTACGTATTTTAATAACCTTTTGGCATTCATCATCATCATTTTCTTTTTCGCTCCCAAAAGTTGTGTAATCTGTCAAGAATCCACCGTTCCTAAGTTGTTCTTCATCCTCTTTATTAAAGCTTGCATGTCTTTTAATATTACAATCATTACATTCATCACAAGCTTGAGTACCAACCCAGTTATCTAATTGAATTTGGAAACGTTTTGAAAGTTTTGAGTTTGTCCCATCGACATTGCAAATTGAAAATGGTGATCTAATTTATTGTTTATTGAATTTAAATTTAGTTAAATGTTTTTTGCCAAATTTTAATGATAGTAGTTTATAAACTTCATATTTGTTTCCATAAAAATTTTTTGATAATTTATTTACTTTGTGACAAAAACTTTTTTTTGTTCGCCAACCCTAATGCTTAAATAATTCCAACCATAATAATCTACTTTGTCCCTTTCAGGACCTATAGTATAATTTAATAAAATAATTATTTACTCTGATTCCTCATCTTGTGGAATAACAGAAGTCAAAAATATAATTAATGTTAGGATGATAATAATTAATAAAATTAATTTTTGCATTCTAAAATCTAAAATACTTCCTCTAAATTACAAAAAAAATTTTTTTTTAAATCGGCCGAATCTTGCGACAGAC